GCCTGGAACCGAGATACATGACCTTGGCCAGAATTGAACCTGGAACCCTTCAGTCCACAGGCTGACACTCTAACCACTGAACCAAACTGGCTAGGGCAAGGTTAGTGAACTTTAAGGCATAGTTATAGAAACTAAAAGGGGTGGGGCATGTCTGGCCCGTGGGCCTTATGTAGCCACCAAAATCTGGTGTGGCCCTGCCGAGTTCTTACCAAAGAGAAGCTGTTCCAGCCATCACATTAGGGGTGAGTTAATTAAATGTTTGACCAAATACAGCAGGCTAATTTTTAAGTTCACAATTATTTAAAAAGTATATCTTTATTGATTTTAGAGAGAGGAAGAGAGATAGAAACATCAGTAATGAGAAAGTCATCACTGAACGGCTGCCTCCGGCAGGCCCCCAACCGGGAATTGAGCCCGCAACCTGTGCATGTGCCCTGACGGGGAATCAAACCCCGATCTCCTGGGTCCTAGGTTGATGCTCAACCACTAAGCCACGCCCGGCCGGGCTAAGTTGACAACTTTGTATGGCCTTCGAATGATGTTATAAAATATCCAAATGGACCTTGACAGAAAAAATGCCCTCCCCCCCCAATCTAAAATGAAACACCCATAAAAAGAATCTGAAAAAGAAAAGCTATGGGACAACTTCAAGTGGCCTAATGTATGGGTAGTTGGAGTCCCCAAAAGAGAGACAATTAGGGGAACAGAAAAATTATTTGAAGAAATAATGGTCAAAAACTTTCCAAACTTGGTGAAAACTATAAACCGGCAGATCCAAGAAGCTAAATGAACTCCAAGTAGAAGCATGAACAAAACGACACCAAGGCACAACTCAAGACCAGTAGTAAAGAGGAAAAAAAAAAAAAAAAAGCAGCAGCTAGAGAAAAAAGAAACGTTACAATCCAAGGAACAAAAATGAGGATGGCATGTTTCCCTGAGAATAATGCCAGCACAAAGCCAGTGAAGCAACATCTTCATTATATGTGCTGCCTAAGAGAGCACTGAAGCAACATCTTTAAATTATTGATTTAAAAGACTGTCAAACTGCCCGGCCAGAGTGGCTCAGTGGTTGAGCACTGACCCATGAACCAGAAGATCACGGTTGGATTCCCGTTCAGGGCACATGCCCGGGTTACAGGCTCGTTTTCCAGTAGGTGTGGTTCAGTGGTTGAGTGTCATCCCATGGATGGAGACGGCGCCTCCTTCAATTCTCCCAGCCAGGGCACATGCCCCTGCTTCCGACTCAATCCCCAGTAGGGGGCATGCAGGAGGCAGCTGATCAATGTTTCTCCCTCTCTCCTCTTCTCCCTTCTTCCTCTGTCTCTCAAAATCAATAAAAAACATTTTATAAATAAACAAATTTTTTAAAAAGAAAGAAAAGAAAAAGACCATATTGAATACCACTATCCAAGAGAAAAGGAATTACATGTTCATGCAAAAACTTGTATATGAATATTTATAGCAGCTTTATTTGTAATAGCTAAAAATGAAACAACTCAAATATTCATCAGCACGTAAATGGATAAATTGTACATCCATCCAATTGAACACTATTCAGAAATTTTAAAAGGAGCTATTGATACATGCAACAACAAATAATTATGCTGAGTGAAAGAAGTCACATAGAAAAGGTATATGATCATATATACATTATCATAGATATATGGTTCCATATATCTAAAATTCTAGAAAATGCAAACTAATCTATAGGGACAGAAGGCAGATCAGTGGTTGCTTGTGGATGGCAATCAGCAGTGGGAGGGTGTGGGGGTGGAGGGAAGCCTTACCAAGGGAACCGAGGAAATTTTGGGGCGTAATAAGTATGTTTGCTGTCTTGATTGTGGTGGTAGTTTCATGGATGCACACACAGATTAAAATGTGTCATATTGCACACTACACTTGTAGCACTTGCTATGTCCACTTTAACGTGGAGCACAGGTATCTTTTCTACATGTTTCATTTAGACACTCTCAACATCTTGGCAAGACAGGTTTAGGCTTCAGGAGCCTGAGGCCCTGAGAGGTGAAGGCACCTGTAGCTGTCCCAGCCACACTGCCAGAAGTGAGCCTGGATCCTGTACTCCTGAGCACAAGGCTGGGCTTTGTTCAGTTGGAGAAGTGCTTCCAAATCCACTCCTCATTAGTCTTTCAATCCTGGAAGAGGGCAGAGCCTGTATCCTTCCTGCTCTCCTCCCCACCCATTTTACATACAAGGAGACTGAGGCCCAGGGAGGTCCTTGATTGGTTCTTACTCCAGGGGCAGCACAGCTGGAGATCTGCTCCCAGCCGCAGGATGCCATCATGGTGGTCTCCTGCCTCAAGTGGCCTCTTGGGAAGGGGTTTGCTCAGGAGTTCCAGTGAATCCTGGACCCTGGGGATGGCTGTGAGAGAAGCAGATCACACAGCGTTAGCATTGCAGACTGAAGCCAGGCAGCCTGGCTCACGTCCCAGCTCCCCCAGTTCCTAGACTTTAACCTTGGACAAGTCACTTAACTTCTCCCTATCTCAGTTCACTCATTTACAAAATGGAGGTGATAACAGCACCCCCCTCCTTCAAGTGCAAAGAGGATTAAAGGAGTATAAAGTCATCAGAACAGTACCTGGCCTGGAGAAAGGTTTTGGAAGCGCTTGTTAAATAAATGGCTTCAGCCCTGCCTAGTCCCAAAGGTTTGGTCTCCTGCCATCCTCACCCAGAGATCCTTGGGTGGAGGCCCTCCTGACACTGATGAGCCCTGTGCCCCCCACGCCGCAGGGACTTTCCAAACCTTATGTCATCCTCACTCCATCCAGCGGGACAAGGGGAGGCTTGGTGTACCCAGTTCCCAAGTTGAGGGAACAGGCGTTGAGAGGACCACACCACCAGTGGGTGATGGTGACGTGGCCTGTCTGCCTCCAAGACTGGGACAGGGTCAGGACTGGCCTGAGTGAGACCCACCTGCTGCCTCCTCCGTCTGGAACTTGGGCTGAGCCAGCCTGGCTGTCGCTCTCTACCCACCAGGCTGTGTGAGTCACAAGCCCCCACTCCCGGGAGTGTCCCTGCCTGTAGAATAGCCTCATTGGTGGTTGTGAGGCCCCGATGTGGGGGCCCCTTGAAGGGGCTGTGGATACCTGCACGGCAACAAGGCCAACCCTCTTGTCTTGAGCTGTTTCATGCTCCAGCTCGGCTGTTGCATTGAGAGTCTCCGTCCAAGAGGCGGGGAGATTGAGACCAGCTGCTGCTGCCTGGATTCTCCCAGAGCTCGCCTGGCGACACCCAGCTCAGGTCCTCACACCATCCTGGTAGGGATCTCTCCGAGAGGTAACAAGGTTTGTGGGCTGAATTTGGGCCAGTGGTGGGCAAGGATTGAGGAGAGCCGGAGGGAGGGCAGGAGGGAGCTTGGCATTTCTCCAGCAAGGAGTCATAGGAGAGCACGGCTGCCTGCGTGTGACCGCAGGCTTATCAGCTCGCCTGACCCAAGGCTGTCTTCCCCATTACGCTCCTCTCCACTGGCCCCTTCCACTTCCCACCTTGCTTTGCCTCACTTAGGGGAGCCTCAGCCCCCTGTTCCAGGGTGGGGGCACAGGAAGATGCTTCTATGGCTCCGGAGCCACTGGGCAAAGTGGCCTGAGAGGAGCCAGAGCCCGGGGAGAAAGGACACACCTGAGGCCCTGAAAGGGGGGAGCCTGGCTAGGTCTCAGAGCAAGTCAGGAGCAGAGGTGGGCTGACAGGGTGCTTTTCACACCCTTCCCACCACCCCCGGATCAGGGTTCCTGGGAAAGCACAAGACCAGTGGGGCCTGACTTGAGGGCAAGGCAGGCAGCACAGGAGAGGGAGCTCCTTTTCCTCATTGCCTCCTGCCGGTCCTGCGACCAGTACCATTCTATTGGCTCACCCAATAGGTGAGATGGCTCACCCTTCCTGGCCATCTCCCTCTGGCCCAAGAGGTGCTGTCGAACAGGTGCTGGCCTGTGGATGTGCTGTAGTCCATACTGACTCAAAATCCTCTGGCCGGAGCTGGTGGGCAAGGGTACACAAGTGCAAGACCCCCACCCTCTCCTTGGCTCATGAAGCTTCCCTCTGCTGCTGGGTCTCTCCTCATCCAGCAGGATCCCTCTGACCCCAGACCTGACCTTCTGACTCTGCACAGGAGACTTAGACCACTAGCATCCTCTCTCTGGGTCTCAGTTCCCCCCACCCCCAGACATCTCTAAATTCCTCTTTTGTCTCTGCCCTGCCCAATACCTAGTTGGGCTGAACTCCAGCTCTCCACACAGGGCTCTGAGGGTGACGCTGACATTAGGCTTCTGGTCCAGAGCCTGCCCCAATGGTGCCTGTGAAGGAAGGGAGCCCTCTGCTGGGAGCAGGCCACCTCTTGGGGCAGCCCTAGAACTGCTCGAACCCAAAGTTCCCCCTGCTAGTGGCAGTGCTCACCTCTACTCCATGCATGCTCTCTTGGGGTCCCCATAGGGGAGGACTGTGCACATGGGTCCCCAGGGCCTGGAGGGAACACAGAAGCTCTCCAACTCTGGTCTGATGTGTTTCCTAACCCAGTGGAGTTACCCTACTCACCAAGTACAGGAGGATTGGGGGATGGGAACTGGGGTGGGGTGGGGGGAAGTGCTGTGCCCTGTGGGAGCTGAGCCTTGCCTCCTGTCAGCAGTCTTGTGCCTAGTCCAAGGGGCTCTGATGGGAAGGTTGGTCAGCAGCCTGGCATGAGCTTGCTGTGGGCTCCATTCTGAGCTTTGCCCCTCTCTGGGCTTCCAATCTGCCCATCCCCAGCTCTGACCAAGCCTTGCCCAGGTGTGAGGGCTAGGTCCCTGGAGGCCTCCTCTAACTCACAGCCCACAGATGGACCTGATCCCTACACCTTGGTCTCTGCCCAGGGAGCACCTTAAGGGAGATCATTGTGAGCTTGGTCCCTCCATTTTGGAAGGGCAGGATCCCTGAATACTTGGCTCCTACTTCTCCCCACCCCCTTCAGTAGGGCTGCCACTCAGTATCCACAATGCAGAAAGGCTAAGGCAGAGGGAACATCACCCTTTATTGTGGGGTCTGCACAGTGGGTGCTGGGCCCCACCGGCTGAGGAAAGGCAGAGACCCCAGCCTGGGCTGACCATCCAGTATCTGACAAGCCCATTCTCCTTCTAGCCCCTTGATCCCAGGCTGAATACCAGATCTCTGGGGACCTGGGGGACCTCTGGGGCTTCCATCACCCCCATCCCATGTGCTTGGGAGCACTGTAAGTCAGGTAGCAGAAGCCAGGGTGGGGGGCTGGTCATCTGGTGCAGCAGGCCTGGGGTTCGGACCCTGGCCCAGCAGCTGCCGAGCCCCAAGTAGAAGCCGCAGGGGTAGCCCCAGCCGCACTGCCCTCAGGCTCGAGGTCCAGGCCCTCATAGATGGTAGGGAGGGAGGTGCGCTGGCTCAGCCTCCGGCGCAGGCCAACCAGAAGGGGCTGGGGCAGGGAGGCCACATCCACATTGTTGCCTAGGTCCACCCAGACCAGCGCAGGGAACTTGGTGGCGTCCTTGACAGCCTCAGTGAGCTCACGGGCAGCGGCCCTCGTTAGCCGGTTGCCGTTGAGCAGGAGCTGGGAGAGGCGGGGAAGCATCCAGAGGCTGGGCAGCAGCAGGTGCAGCAGCTCGTCACTCAGCCCGGTGAAGCTCAGGTCCAGCACTGTGAGCCCAGCACCCCGGCTGCCCAGGTAGCGCATTATGTGCTGTACATCCCGCGTCGACAGTGGGATCCCTGAAAGGTTCACAGTCTCCCCTGCCAGCGGAGTCTTCTGGAGGCTGCTCTTGAGGCTGTGGAGAGGTTGCACGTGGGGATGAACTGGGCAAGGGCCCATGGCCCAGGCAGGCCCCACTGACCAAAGACAATGACCCATTGGGGCAGCCCAGGGAGGTAGGGAGGCCCAGGCCCTATAGTCCAGCCAAGCTGGGATCAAACTGCCACTTTTTAAATGGGTGGCCATGGACAATGCTCAGAACCTCTCTGAGCCCCTGTTTCCCCTTTGGTGAAAGGGAACCTGGCTGTTGTGAGGATTAAATACATACCCGTTAAGGCTCCATGAGCTGTTATTATAAAAACGTACTTTGTACCTGCATCTCCACACCTGTCACATTTATTGTCACACTTATTTTTATGCCAACCCAGTGACATAGGAGTGATTATTGCATTCTGCAAAGGAGCAAGTGGATGCTCAGAGAGGTGACATGTCTCTTCCGTCGTCACACACCACTAAGCGGGGAGCTGGGTCTCCAAATCAAGGTGCTCCAACTCCTGAGCCCACACGTATTTTTTCATGTGCCTCCTCTAAGGTCAACCCTTTGGGAATAAGGATAGATGTTCCTATGAAGGTGACAGGGTATCAGGCTGGTCCCTCAAGCCTTGGGGGCTAGAGTAGGGACAGGCCCAGGGTAGTAAGAAGGTAGGTGTGGGGAGGGGGGGGAGGGACCTGCCATAGGGAAGGGCTCTCTGTGTTCTAAGCTGGAAAGGAAGTTTAGAGACTGAGGAGGGTCCCCTGCTGACCCCAGAACCCCCCTCTAGGTCTCTCCTGTCATTTGAACATGGCTCACTAGGCAGATAGGCCTAATTGGGGGGCTGAGAGCAGTAGGACCCCTCCAGGACCCCCATCTGCATGACAGGGAACAACCCTGTGGGCTCTGGGCTCAGTATGAGCCACCAGGCCCCAGGGGGGACAGGTGAGGGCACTGGGGCTATGGTTCTGGCCTCTGGGCCTAGGAGCCTCTGGCCAGTTCTTGGGCTGTGCGTGGCCATGAGGCTGTGTTGGAGTGACTGAGAGGAGGATCCCATGGCAGAGTGAGCTATCAGGCCAGCTGTGGGCCACCTGGCACAGAGTTCCCAAAGGGATGCAGGAAAATCAGGACAGGAGTTAGCCTTCAGTGAGCCACTTTGCCTCTCCCAGCCTTAGTTTCCTTCCCAGTAAAATGGGAATCATAACCCAGAATCTGTCTCCCTCACAGCCTGTCAGCTGAGGATTCAGCTGATACCTAAGGTCCAGGGGGGCCCAGGCCTGGTGACAGGCCAGAGACCGAGGTCTCAAGGAGTGAACAGCAGGAGGCAGGTCATAGAGTGCATCTTGGCTGGGGGCATATGTGCTGCCATGGGCCAGGCTGGCCTCCAGGATTGGGACCATGATGCAGATGAGGGTGAGGGGTCCACAGGGTGGGGTTTCAGGCACCATCCTCTTTCTGAGAGAAGCCTGGGCACTCCCCTAGGGCCAGCCCTGCCTCTCCACATCAGTGTGGGAAGGGGACCCTAAGAGGCATGAGGTGGGGCTGTGGCTGGATTCTCCTTACCAGCTCTGGGTCTTCTTCTGGGGCAGGCTGGATCCTAGCTGCCGCTTGGTGTGTGGGGTGAGGTGGTAGATGAGCTGCCTACAAATCTTATCTGAGGACTTCCAGAGCTCATAGTCCTGTGGGGGGACAGTGCTGTCAGAGTGAGGCCAAGTCCCTTCCACCATCCTGTGGGCCCTGGGGATCCAAGTATGTGGTGCAACACAGTCATTCATCATGGACACTGAGCTGCCCACTGGTCTCCCCAGCCCACCTCCCACCCGGCTATGTCCTGGCACAGAGCCAGGGGAGGCTGCCCGCTGGGAGCTGGACAGGCTGATCTGAGGCCCACAGTGCCCGGCGGGAGGAAGCTCAGACAAAGGGCCCTTGTTCCCTGTCCTCAGGCCCAGGGCCAGCCCTCAGACTATCAGCCGGCTCTCTGCCCACCCTCAGCGCTCCCCAAGGACTTGTCACAGGGGAGGCAGGACCAGGCCCCTCCAGGGAGCCTTGCTCCACTGACGCCACCCCCAGAGAATAGGAACAAGCCAGGTCAGCACCTCTTCCTCTCACTCTCCGATCTAGACCGCGCCTATGGGGCCTGGGTCTGGGCTGCCAGGGCTGGGAGGGTTAACAAGTTGCAGGACCACCATCTGGCTCTCTCCTGGTCCTAAGTGGGCTCTGGTAGAGTCCCAGCTTGGGCAGAAAATGGGGGTGCCTTGCTTTCCACAAGCTGGATTTAAAGAGCACGCTCCAATACCCACATGTGCCTTATCCAGTCTGTTAATAGCGTGTGCACACAGTGACAGCAAGGGGTCACTGTGAAGGCTCTAGGGTGCCTCAGAATCCTCCGTGATAACTGCATATAGATGTGGGAGCTCTAGTGCTGGCAGGGCTCAGAGCGGGCACCCTTGTTTCACTGGGGACTCCCTGTGACTAAGGGCTGGGGGCTGGGCACAGGCTGTGTCAGGAGCACAGAACCTTCTATGCTCATGGCGGGATGTCTGCAGGTGCTATCAGAGTGGGGTTCTGGGAAGATGTGGTGCATGGGGGGAAGAGGGTGGAGGCTGCTGGTGGCAGGTGCCACTCAACGTGAGGAGGGAATTGTCTGTGGTTCTCAATGCTGTGGGAAGCAGTAAGCACTTGTCCCCGAGGATATCCCTACAAAATGGGAATGTGTGGAAAGGGGAGAGCGGCTCTCTTCTGGTCCAGGAACTGAGGCTGGGAGTTTGGGTCGACCAACACACTTGTCAGAACATTCTGTGTCCCTCAGGTCCCATACAACTTCCTGCCTGGGTCTCAGGGCCCGGTGAACAGTCCTTGCCTCAGGAAACAGTCTACCCAGCACACGACTTTTCAGGGTTGGAAAATATTGCTCACACTTGCTCCTGCTGCTGGCCAGCCTAATACACTAAAACTGGCATCAGGTCCCAGAGAGAGGCAGTGACCTGCCTAAGGCCTTGCAGCAAGCCAAATGAGAACCCAAGCTCCTAGCCCCAACCCTGGGCTCTCCTGACCCCTGTCAACCAAACTGCCTAGCCTGAGGTCCTTGCCTACTAGCCTCACCGTCTTGGGGCACTGCAGGTCCCGGGCCAGGTTCACAAGCAGATCATGGGAGATGGGGTCCACCAGATTGAGGAAGGCCACATTCCTGTAGAGGATGTCAGTGAAGAGGGTCCCCTCTAGGCCCAGATCCTGTGGGTGGTGAAGAGCTGAGTGAACCAGGAGTCAGGCCACCCTTCTCTAGGCCCCCTCCCAGCCAGCCAGAGCCACTCCCAGCCACTGCCCCCTCTCCCTAAGACTTGCTGGAGTTTCCCCACGGGTGGCGATGGACCAACTCTCCAGGGCCAGGTGGACCTTTTATTTTTTTAATATATCTTTACTGATTTCAGAGAGAAGGGAGAGGGAGAGAGATAGAAACATCAATGATGAGTCACTGATCTGCTGCCTCCTGCATGCCCCCAACTGGGGATTGAGCCCGAAACCCGGGCATGTGATTTCCTGGATCCTAGGTTGATGCTCAACCCCTGAGCCACTCTGGCCAGGCTAGGTGGACCTTTTAGATGAGGAGAGGGTCGGTGCAGTAGGGACCTCAGCGAGGTGATAAGCAGGTCCCAGAGCCCTTAGACTGGTTCCCTGGAGGTGAAACACCATGCTGTGACATCTTGCCTTCTCTGGAGTTGGGCTTGTCTGGAAGTTTCTTTGAGGGCTACTCAGGTGAACTTCAAAGACCACTTCCTCCAGTATTCTCTTTAGGCCCTTTGCCCCTTCCACCTATTCTGAAGTGCTCCCGAGCTTCGGTCACCATCTGTTTGCTCACAAGTCCATACCCTTCCTGTAGGGGTGGACCTCTCTCTCAGCTCAGATTGGGTGTGTTCATCTCCTGCCCTGAAGCAGGCCTTGCCAGTGCCCCCGGCTCAGTAAAGGGTGTCACCATCCCCATCTTCCCAGGGGCTTAGCATCTGCCCTCCCTGGCCCACCAGCTTCCTTGTATAGCCTCAGTGTCTCATCCCTTGCATAGACCCCACCATCAGGGTCCCTGACCTTCCTGCCTTCAGTCCTTGACCTCCTGTTACTCGCACAGGACTGGTGTGGCACTAAATCTTTTAGAGGGTCCAGTTAGAGGATATACTGACAAACTGATGGGACAGGCACAGCCAGGAGGGGCCTTCAGAACGTCCAAGCCACAGGGTGATATGTTCAATGCATAAGCCCCAGTGTGCGCAGGAAGACGGGCTAGAAGGGAACGCCCAAAGGTCATAACTGCAGAGTCCTTGTGGGTTATGGGGCAGGGCAGGTCTCTCCTGGGCCTTGAATCCCAACCTCTGGGACATGAAGGGGCAACCTAGCTAGTTTCTCAGCCACAATGCCCATCTGGTGTCTTGGGCTCCAGGTACCATCCCAGATAGAGATCTGTGCCTCTGGATAGTTTGGTTGATTCACTGCTGTCCTGCCTTTAAACACCATTCATGCTCATGTCACAGATGCCAGCTCGGGAGGATCCAGAAGGGAGAGGTGGCTGGTGAGCCTGGACTTACCCAGACAGGGCCCCAGACCGCAGCAGCCTGCTTTCTGCTGGTCTGGACAGCTCCTCTTAAAGGGCCAGCCCCACCTTTCCAGCCTGCTGGGCCCAGAGAGGAGTACAGCAGAAGGAGGGCTGGGAGGCCTTGGCTGTGCCCCAATCTGCTCTGTGGCCCTAGGCTCACCACTTTTCTCCAAGCCTCAGTTCCCATCTCTAACCATCCACCTGCAGGCCAAAGACATGCATGGTTGATTTCAGCTTACAGAAGGGGCAGGGGGCAGGGGCGTGTGCAGAGAGGCAAGTGGCCTGCCTGGTGGTGATGCTGGGACCAGAGCCCAAGGCTAGGGCAACCCAGGGCTTGGGATCTAGGACTCAGGTACCTGGTATGTGTGGGACCAGCTGGGACTGTCCAGATGTGGTGTGATGTACAGATGCCAGGGGTATGTACTCAGTGGGTGTAAGCTACCCTTCAGGAGGATGGTGATGGGTGCTCTAGCTCTGCCTGGGCTGCTAGGGTGTCATGGTGAGGATGCACCCGCTGACCAGCTGGGCTATTGCTTCTCAGGGTCCAGTGCCTCCCCTCACCCTGGAGGAGGGGAGAGCTGAGGGCTTCCCATTGCCAATCAATACAAGATGCCCACAATTGCCACTCCTCCCAGCACCCCCTCCTTTCCTGCCAAGGCCTGAATCTGGGCTTTAGCTCCTGGCTTGGAGCACCCACAACACACAACTGCCCTCAAACCCCAGAGGCATGGACACTTACCTGCCCTGCCCTCTTGGCCTCGGTGGCCCTCACTCTAGCCTGCTGCCCTCCCTCCCTGGCCATCTCTCTGGGCCAGACAAGACTCTCACCCCTGCAGCTAGTCTCCCCTC